AAAAAATATCTCATTTGCATTAGAGTATGCCTTCATGGAAATTCATTCATGAAAACATGTACCCCTCATGTAAGGGAGAGAGATAGGATTGGCCATGACCTAACTCAGTTGCACATTGATCTAGCTTATCACTTGCAGACCTTCACATCTATGAATGACATTCTTTCTAATTTTAAAGATTTTTCCTAAACTATGATTATAAAATTTATGCAAACTCATCCTAAAAACTACCTTATGTTTGTAACTAAACAGGAAACAGTGTAGTTATTTTCTAGTTTCATGTATACATTTCTTTCATAATGTTTATATAATTTTATTATGAGATGTTGGGTAGCCATTTAGAGTAAATAGTAGATCTATATGATATAATATAATATGATATGATATACGACCCAGTACAGTCTCAGATATCATAGGTTATGTTTGTTTAGCATCGTAACACCTCATATGTTTTGCCCTGTGAGGCTTAGATTATGATTTTTAGTTTTATATTTTAATATATATTGCCCCTAGATATTACTTTGTTATATGCATCAGGCCAAAGATATATTTTGATGATTTGCTGTTCTCCAGATTTATTTTCTAATTTATGAGTTATTATAGGATTTATGCATCACAACTGATAGAAAACTTTCTAATTGATAATATTGTATTATCGTTTTGAATTATTTCTTAGTTTTCCTTTAGATAGTTATTTTTTGAATATATTTTTCTCTACATGCAAAATTATAATCCCTCACCATTTTTTACTGGAATTAGATTACATGCCATTCACTACATTATTATAGTATCATGCTTAGACTATTAAGCTAATAGCACAATTAGTTAGCAAACTTGTACGCTGTAGAATGTTTAATTAGCGAACCTTGCTTATAGTTTTAGTTTATTATCTACTATTGCATTAGGTTATCTGTTGATTTATAGATTTATTACACTACTATAGGTACTCAGACAAGTTATCAAATAAGAGTTACATTAGCTGGCACGCTGCCAAGTGTTTGTCATGGGAGCATGTTAGCCATTGCTCTAGTATCACACCTTACTTAGCAAAATAGAGAGGCATGACAAGTAATGTTATAATATATTATAATAATTAAAATACAAATTAATTAAATAAATTACTGATGTAGAATTACATCAATAATTAAATAAATTACCAATGCAAATTTTAAAATTACATCAGTAATTTAATGAAAAAAGTTTTATTTTAATTACTGATGTACTCATGCTTTTGCAATTATTATGATGTTTAAAAAATTAATTAAATAAGTAACTAACACAAAGTTGCATTAGTAATTTATTAAAACAATTTTTATTTTTTATTATCGACGCACTTATGCATCGATAATTATCATAAAATTTAAAATAATTAATTAATTAATTAAATTACTAACACAAAGTTGCATTAATAATTTTTTAAAAAAAATTATTTTAGTTACCAATGCATTTATCATTGGTAAATTATTAAAAAAAATTATTCTACTTATTGATGCATAATTTGAAGTGTGCATTGGTAATGGGCATGTTTTGCGATAATTGAGTTGTTAGAAGATGGGTTTTTCCAAGGCAATTACCGATGCACTTGTGTCAATAATTTGCTTATATATTCTTCTTCCTTTCTCATTCTCCCCCCCCCCCCAAAAGTCATGCTATTCGTTGCTCGTTTTATCCAATCCGTCGTCCGCTGCTTGCCCACCGCTTGTACTCCTCAAACGCTCCAAATATGTATTTCAAGTTTTATGATTTCTTTTATTGATTTTACTAATCATATTACAGTGTATAAATGTTCTTTTAAAAGATGCCCAAGTTTCATTATTTTCTATTTATATAACATAGAGAAAAAATAATTCAAAATACAAAGTTGCAATAAAAGGTTGGGAGTGTGCAAGTTGCCATTCAAGAGTTGTATAAGATGATAATAATAATGAAAAACTCACTGCCCATTCATTCATTTCCCCTTGCTCATATACATGACTCAGATTCATCATTTGAGTCAGGCATGGATGCAATAGTTAGGAGTAATATATATTTTTTTCAACTAAGAATTTATTTGTAAGGTAAATAACACTCTCATCCCTTCTAATTTATTTCAATAATACTAAACCTCATTTTTACCCTAGAAAAACACTCTCCTTTGGCTAATATCGACTAATAGTTTCAATCTACTTGCTGTTAAATAATATTAATTTAATATATTAAAAATAATTTTTATTATAAATTATATAAAAATATTTTATAAAAATAAAATAATTTCTTAGCATATAAAATTAAATTACTCATTATAGTCAAAAAAATTAACAAGTTAATTCATTCATTATAAAAGTAAATTTTTTAAATTTCAAAAAGTTTTACTTTATGTTACTTGATTTAATATGAAAAAATTTTAAAAAATTAAAAAACTTAACTTATAAAGAATTTGATTTTAAAATTTTATTAAAAATGTTTTTATGTCTTTTTGAAAATAAAAATATTCAAATTAGATTACTAAAAATTTAAAACTTTTTAATAAAATGGTAAAATTATATCCTTAATAAGCTAAGTTTAATTTTTTTAATTTTTAATTTTTCATATTAAATTAAGTAATGCAAAAACAAAATTTAGAAGTTCAAAAACATTAACTTTTTGAATGATGAAATCAACTTTTAAAATTTTTGACTAAAATGAATAATTTAATTTTATATCATAAAAAAATTATTTTATTTTTATAAAATATGTTTATATAATATATATAATTATTTTTAATATTTAAATTAATATTATCTAACGATAAGTAGATAGAAATAGCTAATAAACTTTAGTCAAATGAGGAGAGTATTTTTCAAGAATAAGAATGGGGTTAAATGTTATTTCAGCTAACCTAAACGAAGCAGTGTTATTTACCCTTATTTGTATTTTTATTTGGATATTTAAATATTCATATGATCAAATTTTAATATGTAGTTTTTTTTATTTTTATTATTATGTTTATGTGTGTGTATTTGAATAAAATAAAATAAAACTTACATTTTTCAAAAAAATAAATAAATAATGGTTAGAAAGTAAAATTCAAAACAAAAGAATAAAAATATAAAGAATAAACAATGAGGTAAAATTTGAAACAAAATAATAAAAATATAAAGAAAAAATTTAAATAAAAAATTATGCTTTAATTAATTTCTTTGTATTAATTTTTTATTTTTTGTATCAATAACTAAAAAATAGGAAAACATAAGAAAATGTTTCTGGCACAAGATTGCCTCATGAAGGCAAACAAAATTAGTTAAGAATGAAAATTATTGACGCAACCTTAAGTGGGTAATTTTGAAAAAATTTAAAAAAATAAATAAAAATAAATTTATGAAAACAAACTTGCGTTGGAAAGGAAAAGTTTAAACAAAAATAAAATTACTAACACAAATTTGTGTCAATAAAATAAATTTACCAACGCAAATTTGTGTAAGTAAAATTTCATAATATGCTAGTAAATTTGCCAGTTCATCTCCCCAATGGTTGTTTTCAACAAAATATTAGTCAGAAAATGCATCAAAAAGTACATTGAGGAACTAAATTACTGATGCATTGTTCTTTTTTCTGACCCTTTTTGCGTCAAAAATCACCGACACATTCACTTTTTGTATTAGTAATTGTTTCTATCAATAATTTTTTTGGCATTTACAGTTACGTCAGTTTTTGTGTCAAGTATCCTTGTTACTGACACAAGTTGGGCATTTGCGATACTTTTCTTGTGTCGTAATGGACCAATTTTTTATAGTGTACCTTGGCTTGGTGAGACATTGAGTCAAGGGTTGTCATGATGCCAGGAGGTGGGCCATGAGCAGGGGCTTGCTTGGATTCCTAGAGGACTAATTCATGAGGGCCATAGCTTGGTCAGATGATGCATGGGAGATGCCAGGCAATCAGGAGGTACAAGACAAGGAGCTGGCAGGACTCGTTGAAATGCGGGGCGAGGTGTGCTATAGTGGTGCCAAAGCTGACATTGCCGAGGCAAGACGCCCCACGGTGTGCCTTACGTAGGTATTGTGGATGACCAAGGAACGATGAAGGCAACAAAGCACGGTGGGGTGTTGAGGAGCATCCCACGGCACGACGTCAGTGCAACCCGAGGAGCGGCACGACATGGACTTTAGTAATGACTTGCTGATGGAGTTGGACTTGCAATGAGCTAGACACGGACATAGACTGGACTAAGCAGCATGGGCCAGTGGATTGGGCCATGAATCATGGGCCAAACCATGGGCTGGGCATGGACTTCCAAGCTGGGTTAAGTACGCCATGGATAATCTATTTGCCGGGCCATAGCTGCTACAAAGAGTACAATATTTAGAAGACTTATTTTAACCAAAAAAAAAATTTTGAGAAGACTTATGGAGATAGAGTTAAAGATGCGGTTGAGAAGATTAAGGGGATCTTCTAGAAGATTGAGTTAGCTGCCAAGAGATAAGCTGCGATCAGCCAGGCCGGTCATTGGGGTGAAAAATTCTGGGGTTTTTGCTTGTGTATATGATCCGGCCACTTCTCAATGAAAGTCGGGTTTTCCATGCGCTGATTTCTCAGGACTACAATAAACCTTACATTTCAATAAATAATTTCTCAAAACTATAATTTGGTAAATAAAAAATATATATTTATGTAAAATAACCTACCATGAATAAGTAAAAATCTTACTTCCCTTTTCCCATTTGGACTTACTGCTACCCTCTGGAGTTCATAGAAATAAAAAAAAAATGGCCATTTTTACAAATAGTGCTAAGTTGGTTATGACGTATGAGAATGGACAAAAGACATAGAATGGTCAACGGACTTTGCAGGTCTTTAAACTTGGATTATAATCATTGAGTAACCACTTTCTTAAAACAACTATCACAAGAAAACACAATCTCTCCCGAATCAATCCACAATTTCGAGCATGGATAACTCTCTTGTCCTCATTTGGCCCATGAAATTTCCGAAGAGTCAAAAAAAAAAAAAATTAAGAGAGAGAGAGAGAGGAAAAATCCATAATGCGACAGTTCCTACCTCCTGGCCATGGTTGCAAGGCTATGTTTGTGTTCCACAAATCTGCCTTGTCCAATAAATTCCTTATTTTGAACAATCCCCTTATTTTCGGAACCAACTCCTCTCTCCCCCTCTCTCCCTCTCTCTCTCCAAACTAACCAAGCCCAATTTAGTACGTATCACAAAATCTAATCTTTCAATCATCTCTCTCTCTCTCTCCCTTTCATCTTGTGCAGCATTTCCCCCTCCCTTTTCCCATGTTTTCCTCAATCTCTAAATACGAGGGAAGCCACTAGCTGTTTGTTGTTTCTGTCCCAAGTCTTTTGGTTCCACAAATTTGTTTGTCTTCTTTAATCTCCCAGAATATTTTTCCTTTTTTTTTTTGGGTAGGTTCTCGTCCCCGCCTTGTGCTTCCTTTGGCCTGTCTAATCTTCCCGTTCGTTCAAGGTAACCTAATTGCAGTTTTCCATTTTCCTATTAATTGCTTTGATTGTATGATTTAAGCTAGTTTCTTATTATCTATGGTGTTTCTTTTTAATTATTATTTTAGAAATGTTCTTACTTTATTTGTTGATCTCAGGGTATTTGTGGATTGGTAGGATTGAGGAAGGGGAACTGTATACTTGAAGTAATGTATGAACCCATGCATAGACACATTTAAGGGAGAGGATTTGGGAGCTTATATCTAGGAATCCAAAGAAAAATCTTATTCTATTTCTCGTCAGGTTATTGGGAAAATACCCAACTTGGTGTTGTCTTGAGTGCATAAAACATTATCACTATGGAAAAACAAGCCCGGATATCGAGTTCTGTCAAATGTTGTGACTGCGGGTGTAGCTGTTCATTAATGAAGAGGTCCTATTCAGGGACTTGCTTTCGGTCCGTGAAGAGAAAGTTTGATGAGTTTGAGGAATTGGTTTTGCCCAACGTTGCTCGAGTCGAAATTGAGAATGAGCGGGATGCATTACGTGAGATGGTTGACAACCAGCAAAAAACTATAAAAGAACTTACCCGCGAACTGGAGGAGGAGAGGAATGCTTCATCTTCAGCCGCGAATGAGGCCATGTCAATGATTTTAAGGTTGCAGAGGGAGAAGGCGGAGATTGAGATGGAGGCCCGACAATTTAAGCGATTTACAGAGGAAAAGAATGCACATGATCAGCGGGAGATGTCGGAGATGGAGGATATGTTGTACAAAAAGGAGCAAACTATTCAATCTCTACAATGTGAGGTTCAAGCTTATAAACATAGGATGATGAGTTTCGGGCTTACAGAATCCGAGGCAGACGGCGAGGTAGACGCCGAAAGTCATAAAGATGATTCCCCCACTGCACGTGTTCGCCAGTTTGAACCGGAACCACCCACTTTGGATTACCCACCTCTCAAGTGCAATTTGAATGAGACCCATTTCAATTCGGACGTTGAACACGACGTGGCTGACATAGAAAAATATGCATTTGGGGAGACCCCTCCTCCTCGGGATCATCTGAAGGACTTGGAGTACCGGATCAACCAACTGGAAAGAAGTCCCAAACAAGTTCCACCGGATGGTGAACTATCAAACCCAAAGGATGTGGTTGAGAAAGTGATCGTCGGTCAGTCTCCCCGGCGACCTAGACATCTCAGACGAATGTCGACCAGCAGCTCAAATTCATTCTTCACAGTTAAAGAACTGGGTCAAGATTTCACCCACGAATCGCCAAGGCCTTATGGGAGTTTCAGGAAGATGGACTACTCGCAAACGGAGGACTACTCTTCCAATTTGAGGAAAGTGGACGATGCATCCGACGTTGGGGATGACATGAGCGACCGAGTGTATACCATTGATTCTATCTACGAAGGAATGCAGTATAACAGTAACAAAGAGAGCAAGAATTCTGTTGTGGGATTTGAAGATTATTTAACAACTCCAAGAGATTTCATGAACGTAGCAGACATAGGAGACCCAGATGTGAGGAAGTTGTACATGAAGCTTCAGGCACTTGAAGCTGATAGAGAGTCAATGCGGCAGGCTATTATTTCTACGAGGACCGATAAAGCTCAACTAGTATTGTTGAAGGAAATAGCTCAACATTTCTGTAAAGAAATGTCAACGACGGCAAGTATGCCAAAGAAGAAACCAACTCCTGTTGGGAACTTTTCAATCACCTCAGTTTGCAAGGTAAGCTGGGGAACCAATATTCAATCTTTTCTCTTCCTAATGTCATTGCTGCACACACACACACACACGCACACACATGTAATTAATTTTAGAAATAAATTCTGGTATAATTTATGTATGATTTTAAGCATGGTAAAAATCCAACCATTGGTGTATTTCTACGGCAAACAAAAGATATTAGTGCGCTACACTTTTTCTGATTTGCTATCAATATTTGAATTTAGTTAATGAATAGGTTGTAATTACTGTATTTGATGTTAAGAACTAATTTAATAGATTAAAGTTCTGAAATTTATTAAATTAACATCAATATCAGTATCTAATCCTTTGGTGCTGATCTTACAGATGTTATGTGTTCTGACACAATGGATCAAAATCTAATATCAAAAAAAATAATACAATACAGCATGTGTAATAGTAATATGACACATAATTAATACGAAATTTAGCTTTTCTTTAATTCTGATAAAACATTAAAATAATTGATATTTCAGATAAAATAAATCATGTTAAACGCGTCAAAGTTAATAGCTAAGTCCTTGCCATGTACAAGGTCCTAAACTTATGTTCTGACCCTGTTAAACAAACTAGTCCATAGGACATCTATTCTTCTGTTTTCTTGCTTTCCTCTTAGAGAAAAAGAAAGAAACAAACTAGGATTCAAAAGTAAGGTGGCCAAACCTAGTACTAATTTATTTCTCGGACCTAGTTCTTTTTTTTTCCTTCCTATGTTTGTTCCAGTCGTATGCAGTAAGAATTGTAAATGTTAGAAAGTTGAATATTGTTGTTTTATGGAGGTTGACAAAGGGCATGGGTTACATTTCAATGTAATTTTTACATGGAATAATTAGTTTTATATTTTTTGACAAGCTGGGCCACGTATGTGTTCATAATATACAACTAATAACAAATATACGATGCATTTAATTTGTTGGTTAATCTGTCTATTTTATATAATTATGTTGTATTGACACTTGCCAATTTTATTCCTTATTTAATCAGTGGGTTACATCTTTTGTTTCCTGGAGAAAAAGAGCACGTCAAAGCAAGTAAGTGGTCATTATTAAATTATCTTTTGATATTTTGTTTCTGATTTTTTTTTTGGTTATTGCTTTCATTTTTTATTGAATGTTGCGTCCAAAAAATTTAAAAAAATGAAAAATAAAACCCTTGAAACCAAATTGTTTTGGCAAGCCAATTTCTTGTAATATTTTCTTTCCTATTAATTTTTTAATGTAACACCATTTAATATATAAAACTTTCAAAAATTAATACTAAACAATTTTAATTAAGTATATTATAGCAGTGACTCTAACTTAACAAGTTATTAAAACCAGTAACTTTTAGATCATTACAAATAATATAAGAGAAAACAATCATTAAATTAAATCTGTAAGATTTATTAGCATTATTATCAAACAATTTTGAATTAATATTTTGAACCTTTTTAATCATACTAAATATTAGACAATATAAAAATAAACTTTTTTATTTTAAAAGGAAAAAAAAAAAACCATTAACCTAATATCAATTTAAGCGGGGCAAAACAGACCAAGTATACAACAATCATTGTTTTGGACAAGGAGACAGACTTACAATTGTTTGCAACTGGAACTCGATTTATGCCTTTCTTTTTCATGGTCTGACCACAATTATTATTCGCAGGTACAACTTTGGGATACCAAACAACAATCCGGGCTTACTATTGCTTTTAGAGGAGGGCCCTAGTGTGGGACAGATGAGATGCCTTTCAAGGACCAAAGCATGAGATCAAACTATTTAGCTTTTCGACATTCATGCGTAAATCGATCCTATTCCCTTGTGATCACCAAGTGGGGTTCATCACACCACAACCTTTGGATTTCTTTTTCATTATTATGGAATTTTCCTTTTCTGGGTTCCTCCCTGTTGTAGAATTGGATGTTGGATCGTCTTTGCTCAACATTCCTTCAAATTCATTTTCTCCATATCTATTATATTTTCAGTAGTTGAGATCTCAAACATAAATACAAGCAATATGGGTTTTTTTTAGGATGGATTTAGTGTTAATTTTGTTTCCATATTTGTCTCCGTATACAGTTCTAATTTATCTACCATTCTCTAATTGAATTGTGGTGCCTATACTTCTGAAATTACTTTACAAAAAAGGAAGATAAAAAAATGTAACTTGTTACATTTCTTTCAATTATTCGAATAATTAGATTTTGAGACTTCAATTGTTCAAAAAAGGCAATCCGAACCATGACATATTTAAAAAATACGAACATATGATTCAAATTTATTGTAAAAAATACAACTTGACATAATTTTCATAACCAAACAAATTGGTGAGCTTATCAAACAACATATTTTGGGAATGGAAACAAGTTCTTTCAAATGTGGTTATTCAAAGTACGAAAATCGTTAAGAAATAACAGGCATACAAAAATTGGGTACAGAAGAATATTTTTTTTCCCTCGTTCTCAGAGGAAATCAAGAATGCATTCGTTTAGTTAAGAGGCATTTGCCAGGAGCGAATGAAACAATGAACTTCGGATAGAATTTTGAGCCAAGGACTGATGGACTACAAACACTGGCAAAGTTCACGCTTTCCAGTAATCCATTATTTTGAGAAGATAAATGTATGCCTAACATCAGCCAAATTCAACCAGAAAATACAAAAAATAATTAATCTGAAAACAAAATTGAACTCTCTGAATGAAAATAAAGTTAGTCACCTTGGAGCCTTATAAAATGGTAAGTCTTATTAATAAACTTCCATCATTACAAATAAATTCCTTGTTTGCACTTTGGAAAGGGACATATTCCATAAGGAGCATCTTTTGAAGTCAGGATTACTAAACCTTGTCCAGAGTTCAAACTTAATCACTCCACTATGACACTAACCAATCAGCAATTAGAGTTAGGAAGTAACGAGGGTTCAAGCACGGCTGCTGCCTTCTCCAAGATATCTTTCAATCCCAACACAGGCTAGTGTTTAAGGATCAGTTTTGAACTGAATTTAACTCCTGTAACAGGAAAATAATTTTTGAAGTTGTCTGTTTGTATTAGCCAAAAGAGAGACCAGGTTCACGTTTGTTCAAATTCTAATTTTACAAGAGCCAGGATTTCATGGTTTTACAACTTCTATGGAAGTGAAGGACAACAATTGGATAAGTTTAGGCAAAGCCAAAGCGCAAGTGAAAAACCACTTGAACAAATTCCGTCAAGAATAACAATGAAGCTTTGTTTCACGGTAGAAAATGCAAACAGTATGTCATACAGGTGAAATAGCAGCTGTATAAGAACCGTCACTGTACTTCAAGGCTTTAAGAAATGCAGAACACATTTGAGAAGAGAAAGTAATGTTTGGAATACCAAAAGCACAGCTAATTTCTTGCAAGCCTTCATCAACTGGTTGAGGACATTTCTGAAAAATGGTTTCAAGGCCAACATTCAAGCCGACTGAGGCTGATTCGGTCACAAAACTGTCAGTCACACAAAATGACAAATAAGTCATAAATTTAATAAAAATATAGGCATACAGTAACAGCAACTCAGTTACAAAAATGAAGATAATAACAATAATACAATTAATCCTGCAAGGCAGCATTCAGGTGCAAATCGGTTAGCATTGGCTCACTAGCGTAAAACCTTTATAGGGAGGTTTCTTGCATTAGGCTGTCTTTAATATGCAACCTGGTCTCTTGAATCATTATTAATTCCGGAAAATACAAGACATTCCAAAACTAAGGCCTTCTTTGATAACCTTTACAATTGTTTACTTAACTTCAAAAGTTCACTCTCTGCTTACCTTGCAAACTATTTACAACTACCAAAAATTTGGCAGTTATTAAAATTTACAGAAATTTTTTAAAATAAAATATTTGTTTAAATTTTTTTCAAAATAAAATAAAATAAAATAATCCCAATCCTCATCCAATTCCCACTCCATCAATCCTTATCTCACTTGCACTTTTCATAATTTGTAAGCATAAACAAAAGGATATAAATTTTGTCAAGCACAACAGTTATGTAGGATAACTTTCACATTTGTTTTATTTATTTTTACAAAAAGATAAAGCATGGAAGTGAGATAAGGAGAGTGGAGGTGAAATAAAGACAAGGGAGTGGGAGAGTTGGAAAGGAAGAAGAGTGGGAATGCTTTTCTCCCTAAGCAAACTCAAACATAAATTTTATGTTTTCAAAATTTACAAGTGTCCAAATCTTCCATTCTCCCACTTTTTATTTCACTCACTTACCAGCTCCTTATTCTATTTTGTGTATGTACATGCGTAGATATGTTGACATTATCTAACACAACCAACACAAGGAATGGAATTTCCAATGTGCTTTTGATAGTTATCTCCATTTTGTATTACTATGTGTCTCAAGCATAATCAATATAGTATATGACAATACGTATTTATCCTACTCATATCTAAACCTTTTATGTGGACTTTTGTCATCATATCTTGTCAGTTTCAAGTGCTTTAGATCCACCATGTTCTGCATCATTATTTTAACAATTTTTGCAATTCATTTCATACAGACAAATACCACAAATTTCCAATACAAGAGAAGGAAACCAAAAATGTCTCAAGCATATACGTTTCTTGAGACTTTGCCCTGTTGTCTCCATTTTGTATTATTGTGTCTGAAGCATAATTGGTATAGGGCCTGTTTGAAAAATATATAAGTTGAGAATGTTTTCAAATTTTGCTGAAAACTGGAAATAAATTAATAAATGGATATATGGTCAAATAGTTATAATAATCGCTTTTACTATTTTTTTATTTTGAAATGTCTAAATTGTCCATTTATTTAAGTAGTACTAAAATTGTTATTATTGAGTTGGTTAAGGGTAAATTGGGCTTATTATTAAAGTGCTGGAAATAATATTTGTCAACCCAGAGTTCAGATTATTTATATTTATGCCATTAGTTACAAGCAGTAGGGGTTTGGGTGCTTCTACTTTTAATTAATTTTAGCTAAAGTTTAGAGAAAAGTAGCCCAGAAGCAAGAACCCCAAATAGGCAAAATCACTTTTTTGTAGTTAGAAGTTGCAAACTACTAGAAATAAGCTCTCGCAAACAAGCACATAGTCTATGACAACACACCTTTCCTACTCATATCTAAACAACTTATGGGGATTTTTGTGGTCATATCATGTCAGTTTCAATTGCTTCAGATCCATCAAGTTCCTCATCATTTTCCCCTATCAACAATTTTTCTAATTCCATTCATATGAACAACAATGACAAATTTCCAATCCAAGGGGAGAAGACAAGAAAGTATCCAACTATAATGTAATTCAAGCTAGGAAGCACCAATGCCTTGTTTGGTGTGACATATCCATATCCTCCAGTACGTGTCTGTGTCCCATATGTCACAGATACACCTACATACATATTGGACACCACATTGCCCAACTATTTTTAATTTCAGATAAATGTATCCAAGTATAAGAAAATGTGTGTCTTAGTATATACACAACACTTCTCTCTAAAGGTTAACATTCCAGGGCAGTATGAAAGATTAATTGGAAAATTGAATTATTTAACAGTTACTAGGCCCTGATATTTCTTTTGTAGAGTGTATTTAGCTTCTTGATGCTCCTCAAAAACCTAAAGGTGCTCTTGATGTGGATTACTCTATAAAAACTCTAGGAACACTAATGTCACTGGTAAGTTGGATAAAATTGGGCTAGAGGTCCCGCTGATAGCAGATCCATTACTGGTTATATTATGTGTGTTTACTGGTAGTAAGTGCTAACCTAATCTCTCAGAAGTGTGACAAATAAATAATTGTATTTCAATCAAAAACTAAATCCAAATAAGAAGTCATAGCTCACACTAGAAATGCTACTGGTGAATTAGTTTGGCAAAGCATCTGTTAAAAGAGCTTCGCCTTGAACACTCATGGCCTATGGATCTTACATGTGATAACCAAACAGCAACACATTGCTCCCAATCCAGTGTTTCATGAAAGGCCCAAGATCATTAAGGTTGATTGGATACAGATCAGGAAAGACTTGCAAAATGAGATTTAGTAAGAGCTGCAAATCAGTAAGCATATTTGATCAAAAGTTAGGCAGTTCCAAGAGTATCTTACATTCATGATAAAATGATATTATATGCTGCAGCTTAAGGGAGAGTGCCAAGAATACTTTAGTCTTCTGAAACACTTATTAAGGCAAACAGTATATCAATTTTTGTGCACGTGATATAAATATAGGAGGCCATCAATTTATGCAAGTCTCTAGTTTTAACCTATCACTTTTTTCCCCCTCTCCCTCCTCTCATATCAAAATATAATGAATATAAAATATTACAACATCCATATTTTTGTTGCATCCCTGCAGTTTCTATGCCCAAATCTTTTCAAACTTGTTGTGTTGGGTGTCCATTCCGTGCTTCTTAGAAATCTAGGCATGACTTCAGATTCTGAAGTTTCACACGTTCATAGAAATAGGTTACACAGTGAAAATTTAGACTCTGCGTGCCAACCTAACAATATCATCTCAACCCTAGGACATAATCAAAATTGCTCCATGTAACCGTTACAATTTACCAACACCATCATACAAATGCAGAAGAAAGGCATACCATGTTTTCTTTTCAATATGGTGTTGCATATATTCACCCTCTATTTACTTCCCACAGCATAACAATCTCACACTGTCAATTACATCCACTGATGACAATAGTTTCCCGTAACCATGCATCTTTGATCCTTAGTCCACACAAGAATACAAATTTCAAATGAAGCAAGGATTGTGCAATACGCCCAGTAGTAGGTATGCCTACCCAAAGTGCAGTTAAACAAGTAAAAGCATGGTCTACTGGGCCACATAGTGCTAGGATAATTCCAAGTCTCCTTATTCCTAAGCCCAGTCTGCACCAAGCCCCAAGACCTACAAGAAGCCCTAATGTACAAGAAAGAAACAGAAATGAAGCCCACCAATATTTATAGCATTGGAGTGTAACAATTGAAATAGGAGTCCAGAACTACAACAAAGAAAAGAAATAAAAAAATCCTCCCCCAGTTGGATAAATCTTGCTTATGTCTAAAGGCCATTTATAAACATATTCTTTGTTTCCATATAAATATTATTTTCTATTCAGAATTAACTTATTTGATACTGTGAAAACAACAGTCTCAAGGTGTAAGGTTAGTTTTAAAAAGCAAGTCATATGATAAGATGTCAATGCACAATCAGGGAGGATCAGGTACAGCCCGGGAAAAAATGCCACCCATTTTAGTAAGTTCACTATCTGTTACTGTTATTTCATGTGAACCAAATAGAAGAAATCATATAGAAACAAAAATCTTAGAAGAGCAAAGAAAGGAAAAACAAGAATATCAAAAATTAACAAAGAACAAAACATGTTAATTTTAGTTATGAAACAAAAATTGTCTTAGCTTGAAAAATATTTCTTACCTTGCCTCAAAGCTAATGCCCTCAGAGTCCAGAGCTTCACAAACACTACAGACAACCCACGGAGGAAGATATGCATCCTTGATTTCAATGCCATAACCAAAGCCAGCCAATGAACTCTGATTAGGAACATCTTGCGCATTGACATCCTTTACAGGATAACATATATTATCAGCTGTTTTCATAGCCTTGCATTTAACCTGTAGTGAAAACATAGCAGCTGCATAAGTTTTTTCATTTTTCAATCACATTTATTACATTCTACTCTTATGCATAGAAAATAGAACAGTTACTTTCAAGAACATCAAGATTCATGGAAAATAAAGAATTACAATTTAAAAAAAAAAAAAAAAAAAAAAAAAAAAAACACTAGATGTTTGTTAAGAACAGGTTGCAGATCAGTGAGATATGCCAATGTCAGTATTAACATCTAGATCAAGCTTTCTATATGCTCTTTAAGCCTAAAAATATTTTTTTTTCTTTACTGATCCTAACAACATCATTAGATTAGAAATATTAGCTGGGATGGTTACTGAGGAGAATGATAATAAAACAAATCAGGAGCCACAAAAATTTCATTTGGCAATTTAGATTAGTGTTCAGGATGAAACTTTATAATCTTGAGGCATCTGCTCCAAAATGTATCTGTGAGAGGCATAAAACTGTCTACTACAAGCAGTCCAACTAAACAAGAAAATGGGATTCCAAAACGGGGATGGTTGTAGGCACTCCAACAGTTACTAGATGCTCACACCAATAATACAGAAAGAAGCATGTTATCCATAGATTTAATCAAGGGTCAAAGATAATATATTATAAATGCTGATCAACACGTAAAAAACTCACAAACAAGCCATTACTAAAACATAACATCTCATTATTTAAGGCTTTGTGAACCAAAATTTGAGTAAAACTGTGGAAGAAAAAGTAAGGGCAAGTTGAGAGGATAAAATTATAAAAAGACTGAAGAATATCTTTTTAAACAAACACATGTGCTAACTAGTCCTACCTCTGGAGAAGAAAGGGCAGCATTCTGAAATGGAACCGGAGAATATAGAACCGGAACATCCACGCCAGACAATGATGTTATGTTAAATCTGGCAAATGAAACCAAAAGCAGCAAAAATTTAAATCCAGATAAAATGCAATAAAAATTTATTTCCATAAAGGATACAAAAAGAAGAAAAGTGCAGTAGTCTGAAGGTATTTCTATACCAACCTATAGTTTAGTAAAAAGTCATATAAACCATGGATGTTGTCATGTCCACTGAATGCTAGCAGAGATTGTGGGCTATTATCAACATCTAACATGGAACCCTGACGGTGAATCTGCAATAAAGAGGGCAGGCACAAAAATGACCAAGCATACAATAGAAAGACCACCTTGTGGAAGAAGGGAAAAACTACCGAAGTGGCACTCATGCCTATGTACAAGAATGAGGCATCCAAAAGGTTTTTTTTCACATATCCTCTAGTCTCCCCACTCCCCCATAAAACCTCTCCCCATCTATTGTAGCAATGCAAGAGCACTTAGACAAGAACCCCATTAATGTAACATTCAAAAGATTGATTCAATCACCCACAAAGAACACCAAAGGCCTAGAAAACCGCCCCATGAGAACACACAAAAATAATTTAGCCTTGAATCCATACCTGGCCCAGGTTATGTTTCTCAATTTCAGAAAGCTCAACCAGATCTTCAGCAGTGATTTGCTCTACTTTGGAATAGCAAAGGGGCATAGAGAATTGAATGTCCTAGATCATAATTTAAATTAATCAGGAAAAAGAAAAGAAAAAAAATTAAAATTTTAGAAGCCATCAAGAAGAGATTATTAAAATAGAAGTAAACAAATTAGGCCTAACACTATCTTCTTTCAAAGATGGAAGAGTTCATTACTTGAAAACAATCAACAAAAAGACTCCTACATTGAGTTATCAAATATCATAACTGAATACCAAGTCTTCAACTTTCACAAGCTTAAATGTTTTTTTTATGCTGAAAGAACTCCTAATACATTTAAGTCACAAAGAACCATATCTTGTGAGGAAAATTTTCTTCCTAGATTAACAATTTATAGAAGTCAAATCATCCACTTTAAGATCCAAGAATCCACGCAAATTAATTTTATGGGATTATAATACAGTTACAAGCTACATTCAACTACATTCAATTACTAGCATAAACATGTTATCTTAGGCATTAACTAGCATAGAACAATTAAATTACAAGTTAAATCCCTATAATCAGTAAATTATCAGATAAGCACCAAAGAAAAGTAAGTGGGCAGGCATCATCATCCAGCCAAATACTCAACTTTTTGTTATACTCTTCACCTAACAATAGGAAAATAGTAAAAACTAAAGTTCCTATACAAAACTAAGAAACTAATATAAAGTAACGGGAATATTGTCATCTGAGTTTTTGCATCTTTTCCACAAGATCAAGTATGTGAAGAAAAACTGGCCAAGCAAACCAAAATCTCTAATAATGTCCTCCTAAAAATGCAAAAGTTGATTGACTCACATCATTATTGTCTTCACCAGTAATAGCATTTTTTATAAGAGCAAGCATTTTTTTCTTGGAGTTCTAGTTTACAGAAACTAGAGAAAAAGAAAGAAAGCAAGCAAGCCAGAAAGAAATGTATTCATTGATTTGATGATTAATGTGACACACCAGTGAACAGCTTGCTGATCAGTAATTACTTCATCTTATTTTATTTCTTCAGTTTTTATCACAGACCAGTAGCCATCTCAGAGACTTCCAAATTGTAATTAACTAATCCTCATTCAAGTAAATATTTTTGCATTTATATAAAGCAATAAAGAAAATGGATCACCATAATAATACCAGAGCAACTTTAATCCAGGTCAACAAATTCTGAAATAAAATGAAAAAGGTTAGACACCTCTAAGATATGAAGCTAAGTTTGTTGACCATGAGTAAATGTAGCAAAATCAGAACTTTAAGGTAAAAGATACATCAGATTAAAGTTACTAGGCATTCAAGTAAAAAGAACTACCAAGAAGCAGAGAAAGTACAGCTTACATTCATTCTCAACAACGACCTTAAACTCCTTGTTGACCGGGACATATAAGCATTGCATGCACGCTTACTTTCCTTCAAACCACCATTGCCAATGAACAATACCACAAACTGTGAAGTACACACTGGAAAAATTTACAGCAGTAAGCAAATTAGTGTCACTAGTTTTAACAGGTTAATGTAGGAGGAATATTACACCAACTCTAAATAATAAGGAAATTTTCACCAGACTCCACAATCCACATCCAAAGATACCATTCACTTATCCTACTCCTGAACAAAGGTAACAATTGGCATCTAGACACTAATCAAATTACCCCCAAAACAATTACACCTCCCTTGGGATTGGAAGAAGGAAGAATTATACTAGAGTAGTGCAACTGTCACCAGAAAAAATGAAATCTATGCCTAAAACAATCCCATCAGTCCTCCCATCGGATTGCCATACTCCCCTCTACAACCAGCAACTAATAAGTGCCATTAACAAGAAGAATCCAAGCACCATCAATTCACCATAAATAAGTGCTTATTGCACCAAAAAATAGCATTTGCTTCTGTCAAATAATAGATGGTTAAGTTACACCTCCCTAAACAAGCTTGAGATTTTAGATGAGATTGTGGCCGTTGAGAATATTGGGTTATTAGCTTACATGGTGCTTTAGGCCCTGACCAGTTAGTGCTTCTTAGAAAATTACTCTCTCTCTCTCTCTCTCTCTCTCTCACCCTAATGCAGCATTTTTTATAAAATTTGGCCACAGACATTCTAAGATCATACACAAAATTATATACAAACATATATACATTCTCATATGTTTTTCTTCATTGTTTTTTGTAATTGTCACATCCACAAACCATATAAATGACTAAACCATTGGTTTGTATTGATGAGTTTCTCAATTTGTAGAAAGAAACTTGGTTGAGTGACTTGAGTCCCACACCAATAGAATGTGGAGTCATGTGTGTATCACTCTCCAAATCTTGGCTGTTGAGGGCTTGGTTCTATTGAATGTCTCATTTCATCAAAAGCCAAAAAATGGCATCCATGGAAAATAACAAGCAAACTTTTCAATTGCATGCACACTTTCAACATGAATTAGAAATAGGCATGAAATACCAGTCATTCAACACTACTCAAAATATCTTTCCATATGTTGAGAGACAACCATAGAAAACCCTAAGTTGTGTAAATGAGTGAATGTTTAAACACTATTCTCAGAATCTGTATTTATAATACTAAGGAATGTACAAATAAGAAAAGAGAATATGCAAATAAGGAAAGAAAATAAAAGAAAATCAATGAGAATATTCCTAATGATATACTCCTATCATATATTCCCAATTTACCTATATACATAATTCTACACTCCCTCTCAAGCTGAAGCATACAAGTCATATGCACCAAGCTTGTTACATATATATGTAATTTGAAATCCCCTGAGTGACTTAATGAATACACCTACTAACTGATCATTGAAATTGACAAATCTAGTAGCAACGCATCCAAACTGAATATTTTATCTGATAAAGTGATAGTCCACTTCTATGTGTTTGGTCCTTTCATGAAACACTAGATTAGATGCAATGTGCAAGACAGCTTAATTATCACATATTAATTGCATTTGTTTAATATCTCCAAATTTCAATTTTTGAAATAATTGTTTGAGCCATATAAGTCCACATGTTGCTAATGTCGTTACACGATATTCTGCTTCTACACTTGACCTAGCAACTATATACGGTTTCTTAATTTTTCAAAAAATCAAGTTACCTCCAAACATTATGCAATGCCCTAAGGTTGATCGCCCATCTGAGGGCAATCCGGCCCAGTCTACATTTGAGTAGCCAATGATCTGAGAATGACCTTTGTCTTCGTAGAGAAATCCTTGGCCTGGTGCCCTTTTGATGTATCTAAGTATTCGGATTATACCATTCTAATGACTATCACATGGAAATTAACTAAGTACACTTACAACAAAGGAAACGTCTAGTCAAGTGATGGTAAGGTAGTTCAATTTTCCAATAAGTCTCTAATACCGTTCAGGATCCAATACAGGCTCCCCCTGTCCTGGTAGAAGTTTGATGTTTGGATCACAATTTGCCAAGCCAATCTCTTCTAAGATATCAAGAACATATTTCGCTAAGAAATAATAGTACCAATTGAGGACTGAGCGATCTCAATACCAAGGAAATTTTTAAGTCAACCCAAGTCCTTGGTCCAAAAGTGAAACAAGAGTTGTTGCTTCAGTTTGCTGCTACCTTCTTAATCTCCTATGATAATGATATCATTTATATACGCCACAAGATAAATGCTCTTATGGTATGAAGAATGTCGATAAAAAAACAAAATGATCTACTTCGCTACCAATCATGCCAAATTGCTGAACTACCAAACTAAATTGTCCAAACTATGCTCAGAGAGACTATTTTAGGCCTTACGTAAGGGACATACTAAGCCAAACTCCCCCCTAAGTAACAAATCCAGGAGGTTACTCCATATAGACTTCTCCCTCAAGCTCACCATGTAAGAAAGCATTCTTGATATCAAGTTGGAAAAGAGGCCAACGACACATAGCAGCCATGGACAAAAGAACATGAACTGAGGCAATTTTGGCAAAAAGAGAGAATGTATCACCATAATCCAAGCTATAAATCTGAGTGTAACCTTTGGCCACCAAACAAGACTTCAAGCAATCAATTTGCTCATTAGGTCCAACCTTTACAATATCAACCCATCGACACCTAATTGTGGACTTGCTTAGAGGAAAAGAAACTAGTTCCCAAGTGCCACTAGAATGTAAGGCTACCATTTCATCTAGCACAACCTATCAGTAACTAGGATGTGATAAAGCCTCACATGTACTTTTAAGAATAACCATAGAGGACAAGGAGGTGACAAAAGCAAAATAAGGAGAAGAAAGGCGATGATAACACAAAAACGTATAAATAGGATGAGGGTTTCGCGTAGAGCGATTACCTTTATGGAGAGTAATAGGAAGACTATCAGAAGGAAGAACCTGAGACGGTAAAGACGTTGGATCTGGGCAAGAATTTATAGGGCAACAACTGAAGTGTTAAGGCACGGTCAACAATGATAGATTTGAAGAGGATGAGACAAAGTAGCCTCAACAGGTGGTCCAAGTAAAGGAACTAAAAGAACATCTAATACAGATGAACTTTCAATGAAAGAAGGGTAGAATAAGGACTCCTCAAAGAAAGTAGACATTTACAGAGATGATATAGCGATGACTATCAAGATGATAACATCGGTGGCCTTTTTGAAGATGAAAGTAGCTAAGGAAGATCATTTGAAAGATTTAGGGTGAAGTTTGTCCTGTCCAGGGATTAGATTATAAACAAAACAAACACGATCAAAGATACGAAGAGGAAGAGAAAATAATGGAGCAAATAAGACCAACAAAGACATGAGAGTGTGATTTTGTAGGGTAAAAGAAGGCAAATGATTGATTAAGTAACAGGCAGTAAGGACAGTATCACTCCAAAAATGAAAAGGAACATGATAATGAAGGAGTAAAGTGCATTCTGTTTCAATAAAGTGTCGATTCTTACATTTAACAACACTATTTTGCTGAGGTGAGTGAGCACAAGAAGATTGATGAAGAATACCCTCTGAAAACATAAAAGACGTGAAAGAAGAAGAAAAAAACTCACACATATTATCACTTCTTAAAGTGTGAATAAAGATATAAAATTGATTTTAAATCTCAGCACAAAAGATTTGATAAACAGAAAAAATCTTAGCCTGACTTTATTAAGAATAACCAAATACATCTATAAAAATCATCAATAAAAGTCACAAAATATTGATAACTAGAAATTGTGAGAACATGACTAGGACCCTATATGTCAATATGTACTAACTCAGAAAAAGGACACAACTCGATTTTTGACTCGCTTGGTAAATGAACTTCGAACATGTTTACTAAGCTGACACAACTCACACTCTAAAGACTTCAAAGATGACAAACTAGGAACCATCTTTTGGAGTTTGGAGATGTTAAGATGACCTAACCAATTGTGGAGAATAGAAGGTGAAATAACAGAGGTAAAGGCAGCAAGATATGACAGCAATGTGAGGTAGTATAGCCCTTGAGATTCATGCCCTTCGCCAATCATCTACCCTATATCCCAGTCCTATAGAAGAACAAAGTTACGAATAAAAACAATAGAACAATTAAGAGAACTAGTTAATTTACTAATAGAAATAAGATTAAAGAGACAGCCAAGGACATAAAAAACAAAATTAAGAGTTAATGAAGGAGAGGACGAATTTGACCCAAACCTTTAGTCATTGTTTTTGAACCATTAGCTAAAGTAACCATAGGGAGAGAATGTGAACTACTGAGTTTAGAGAAAAGATGAATATCACTAGAAATATAATCAAAAGCATTCGAGTCCAGAATCCAAGGGCCAAGAGAGGATGATTGAGTAATGCAAGCAACCGAATTACCATTTAGGGCAATAGAAGCAGAAGCAGATGACTCAGCAGAGATAGAGACAAACAACTGAGCAGCCTAGTATGCTAGATAGTTTTGATGGTCAGCAATAGAAATGGTACCTATGGGCACAAGAGAAACTTCTGATTGAGCAATATTAGTAGCACGTAGTGGTCGGCCATGTAATTTGTAGCAGCAATCACGAGTGTGGCCCATCTTGTGCAATAAGTATACTGAGGTTGCTAGCCTTTATGCCCTTGATGGCTAGAACTAGTAGAAGCAGTTTTAGATTGGGAAGTCGAGACAAAAGAGTCACCAACAAGAGCAACTAAAGTAGGTATAAGCTGAGTAATTTGACGTAGTCAAGCAAAAACATCTTCCATAGAAGGAATAGAAGAACTCGCCAATATCTATTGATGAATAGAGTCAAAGTCTCAAGGTCAACCAGCCAACGTAAAGAGTATGAAAAACTTATTATAGTTAGATTCTTGAGCAGCAATACCAGAAGTGACAAGAAGGAGTTTAGTAAACTTTGATCTAACACCTTGAATATGTCCCAAATAAGTAAACATGAGCTGATCCTGTTTTCGAAGATTAATTATGTCAGAGATAACATCATAAAATTGCCAGATGTCATTTGTATATAATAATTTAGATTTCTCCCCAACTTCATTGCAGGTTTTGTAGGAGCGAAAAAAGGTGAATCAATTGACAATCAATAATATTCCACAGTAGACTATATAGCTAAGCATCAATTGCTTCCCAGTTGTTTTTGTCAGTTGCAAGAATATTGGAAGCTTGCTTAGTCAAGTGATCAGAATAGTGTTGGCCTTTAAACCAAAGCTCAATAGCAGAGACCCAACGCAAATAATTGGTACCACTAAGAGATTCAATAATAATAACTAGAATGCTTGAAATTATAGAACTAAAAATAGTAGTCTTGCCAGAAGAAGAAGAGCCAGACATGATGAAGAATAGTAAACAAAGAAAACAAGTTCAAAGATCTTACCACACTTGGTACTCGAGTAGAAGTCATAGGCGTACTGAAGTAGAAGCTAAAGAGATCTAACGTTGCCGACAATTGAGAACTACAGCAAGATCTGACCAAAAAAGGTGAGATAAGTTGCAAATCTAGTTGGCAAGGGTGACGTTAGCAAGGAATGTTGGCGAGGGGAATGACAATTGGGAAGAAGCACCGGCAAGGGAGACAATTGCCAAGAAAAAGGACTAGCGCGGATCTACCTAGATCTGGCTTGGATCAAGTGGAGATAGCAGATCTAGAGGAGATGAGTGCTAACAGCCATTAGCACTAGCCAGGAAGAGGGAGACGACACCGGCAGAGAAAAAGGACCAACAATCAAGAGTCGCAGAATGCAGATCTGCAAGAAACAAGGCTTGACGATGATGGGATCTGGCTAGATCTGCTCGAATCTGCTCGGAAGGGCTCTGGGTGGACTCAGAATGGGAAGGCGATGGCGGTGAAGGACAAGACAACTAAAAGCAAGGCAATGCATGCAATCACACGCATTGGAAAAGAAAAGGAACAATTTGCAGCAACAGCACATAGCAGCGCATGAGGGCTCCCGGGGCGATGCAGTTCTGAAATAGGTGGATCGATTCCTGGCAAGCACAATGGTGGAATGCATGATGAAAAAATACAACTCAGAGACTTACCTCTGAGATAACAATCGCATGAGTTGCAACGGAAACCCTAGGAGAAAGAAAAATTTTGGAACTTAGGGTTTCAAAGGCTTGGCTCTGATACCATGTTAAGAGACAACCATAGAAAACCCTAATTTATGTAAATGAGTCAATGTTTAAGCATTGTTCTTAGAATTTGCATTTATAATACTAAGACATGTACAAATAAGGAAAGAAAATAAATGAAAATCAATGAAAATATTCCTAATGATATACTCCTATCGTATATTCTTAATCTACCTATATACATATTCCTACAAGACGAACAATCCATTCTACAATCCTACCCAACCACCCCCACCCAAAAAAAAGGAAAAAATATATTATAACACAATCAAAACTTTGAAGCATCATGTATATGGTGGGGTCATATGACAAAGCTCCCAAAGTGCCTAGTGAATGATAGCAAGAAAGCAAAAGCAACCACAACCTTTATAAAGATATAGTGTGCCCTCTAAGGAGTCCAAGGTGTGAGTTTTGAGCTCCATAAAACAATAAATGTACAAGCACAAAGTAATGACTCTTATTCATAAAGTGTCTTGGCCAATCAAGAAGTCCAAGGAGTACTTACGAGATTTTGCATGACAACTTGAGATAAAGTGCTACAAGAGAGGTGTTACAAACTCACAAGTATGAAAGACTTGCCTAATTGATACAAGCCCAAACGTGCAAATAAAAGGTTTATTTATGTTAAACTAGTAAGAAGGCCATCAGCTATTGCAGCAGACTGAATGGCATCCTCCATCTAAGAGGCAAAGTTAAAAAAGCGTTCTTTGTAAGTGCAACTTAAACAATGAATAAGGATATAATTGCTTGCAATTGGAGTCTTGAATATCCAAACCTTCATTTAGATTTATCAATGACATCATTAACCCCTTAAGAAACATATACCTAAGATGATTCTCCAACAATTCATAACACTAGTTTTGCCATTGATGACCTTTCTCATATTTACAGCTATCCTGAATATCATGCTGACCATTTTTGTTTGTTAGACAAACTAGTTCCAAGTCCTCTAAAAAAAAAACTATCCTCCTAAAGAATATCTTGCAATTATTCAAAATACAATTCTAACTTCTAAGCTCTGTAGGACTCTTGTTTATCCTAGTTTCAAGTAAATTTGTGTCTTTAAGAAAAGCCAATGCCTTGTTAACTGTTAATACGAAGATTTGTTGGTCATGAGTATAATTTGATGCCAAACATAATCTCCAAACTCACTTGGCATGGACAAAATTAAGTTCAAGCTCTAGAGAACTTCCAAACTATGTCCAATACTGGGAATACATTGCAATAATGAAAGACCACATTAATCAATTAAGGGCTCCATTTGGCAATACTTGTAAGAGAGCTTATTACTTTTTGGAAGCAATTAAATCTAATGGGATAAAATTTTGAATTGGCTAAAAAGCAAAAGAAAGGCATATAAACTCTGGCGATTGGACCCGTAGCATTCCCTCTTCTGCATGCATAATTTAAGAAATTTCAAAATGTGTTTCCTAGAAGTTACCTAATCAAATTAAGAAAATCTATAAGAAAAATAACGTAGGAAGCACAAAGATCACTTGCGACAATCTTCTGGACAAAATTAGTTCATCTCAAGTGCATGGCATGAATAATAACATATGAAATCTCAAAGAATTACTTTAATCACATATTCAATAACCTATCTGCAAAAGTATGAATGAGGTTAGTTACCATAAAAAATATCACAAACCCTGTTGCGCAGCATGAAATAAAGACAGCGAAAAGCATCCTCCCATGCCAACTGCCTTTTACTCAAGAAATCCATCTGGACTGAACAAAGAAAAAAAGGCTTAAGTTAAAACAAAACTAGACCTGGAATCATCATGGATAAGAAATAGACACAAACCTCCTTCTGCTCCGGAAAGAGTTAATGCTGATATAACAGAAGGTGGCAGAGAAGACTGCGGATACACCCATGAATGTAAAGCTCTTGGTTTAGCAAATTGGGTAGAAGCACCTTTATACAAGCTACTCATTTTTTGACCTCCAGAACAGCCAGTCAGGAGGGTACAAGGAAACTGTGGCACGCCGCTATAGGTAGCACGATTGATAAGCCTATGAAACCTAAAGAATCAACAAGAAGTTATCAATCAGCTACTGGTGAGACCACATCCGAGATATACTATAAGAAAACAAGTTAACTAGAAGCAACCCAACCATAACAATAGAGCAGAAAACATGTGAATTGGACATCAAATTCACAAGGAGGCACAGACATCAAAAGGATTACCAAAATTTGATACATAACAATTCTTACCTTATCAGAAAATTTCTTTCATAAATGCCTCAAACTTTTATATTGTCTTGGAGTTCCAGAAACCTTCCTTTTTTTAGTCAAACAACAAGCTGTGAAACCTATACAAGCTAGCACCAAATTGTTGGACCATGCAAATCACAGCCAATGCACCATAGGACCTCATCACATTCACCACATCTTCACACAAGTAACCTCTTAATGCTTCTTGTTCCAATGCGCAATTTATCATCACATTCTCTATATTGGGCCAATTTGTGAAAGCTACTACTTTTAAAGAAGTGTTAAATTTTAAAGATATTAAATAGTGTTGAAAGTATAGAAATTGGGGATTTTGCAACTGAAAAGTAAAAAGAGTTGATAAATGAATCTATGGTAAAATAGTTGTAGTGATTACTTATTAGGTTAAAATGTTTGAATTGCTCATTCATTTAAGAAGTGATATCGGTAGCCATAGAACAAATTTCGCTTAGATAAGGGTAAATTGGGATTTTAATTAAAATGTTGGGGATACATTTGTCCAACAAGAATTCGAACTATGTACAATTATGTCATTAGCTACAAGAAGCAGAGGTTTGGGTTCTTCTACTTCTCGTTATTTTTGGCTGAAGTTTAGAGAAAAATAGCACAAAAGCAGGAATCCCAAAGAGGCAAAATCACTTTTTCTTGGCTCGAAGCTAAAACCTGCTAAAAATCAACTATTGTAAATAGGCAAATTGAGCCACAAGACAAGACTGTCAATGCTAACACATCAATAACACTCAGAATGCTAAATTAATTGGCCCCCAATGGCTAAGGAAAAAGATTCGCTTTGATATTTTTCCCATGTGAATCCTTATCATATCAGTGAACTTCCTTAGATCAACCCAAAGTGGAACAATGATTTTGTTGTATCTCCATTCTCCACCCAATAAATTTCCAACACTCATCCATTTGTATAAGTAGTGTGCCACTAATGCATATATGAAGTTTTGCAACAAATTCCTTTTTACTATCCATGGTACATCTTACATGCTCCCAGCATAGTAGCCCTCCACCCATATCATTATATATTAACTCTTCTCATTGATTTATACTTTATCTAAAAGAGCAACAAAGTGACAATAAAAGCCAAGCATGCACAACCTAGCAAGGTCCAAAAGAGGGAAAAAAAACAAACAAAAAAAGAAACAAAAGACAAAACAAAACTTAAATGCATGAGAAATTTGTAAACAGCACATTTCTTATAGAACAAATAAGCATTAAGAGAGGGAGAATGTTATGTTCCCGTGTCACAGATCGAGTCACAGGGCGATGCACAAGAAAATCTGCTTCGAGGGATGCAGCCTTTCCCTTGCTACGATTCTTGTCTCGTGAAGAACCTATGATTATATATATATATATATATATATATATATACATATGGAACTCGTTGAAGGGAGCTCCTAACCTTAGACTCGTTCGAGAGAGCCTTAAACCTCTATAAATTTGGATGGAAATTCTGCTTGTTTCATTCTCTTTTCATCGTTCTCTTAAATAAAGATTACAAAGGAAATTATTCTTGCAAAAAGAAGAAAACTAAATTAAGAAATAAGATTAAGGACTTAAATTGCAATGAATATACTTGCTAAAATTAACTCCTCTAATTAAGAATAAAATCATTATTTGTCTTCCTTCCCATTTTGGCACCATTGACTTCCTTATTTGTGATCCATGCTATCCATAACAGAGAATAATATCATCCACTGTGCAAATATGCAAGTTATAAGTTACAATTTAAATCATCAAGTAGCAACAAACTGTACATATACCCTGAATACCATAACCCTTTGAAATCCCCAGTGAAATTTCAAGAAAACATTTTAGGCTAAATATAGTACATGGGTCAATAATACCTAGCACAAGCAATAAGCTGAACACGATATATAAGCATCAATTTAAACCTTACATAAAAGAAGCATGAACATGCATAAGCACAAGATTGCAATAAACTGACCAATTTACAGAGCAAGGAGACACCACCCTTATTGTTGTTTTTAGTGTAAAATCCAGAGGAGTCCTTCGTGCAGGAATATGGAATTCAGAGCATAAACTTCCCAATGCAAAATTGCCTACTTTTTCAGAAGCAATACCCGTACTAGAAAAGGGAGGAGGTTGATGAGCTACCAGTTCCTTCAGTGCTTTATCCTGCCAGAACAAGGAAATGTCAGATTATTTTCACAGAACAGACAATGTAGACATACAATCTATTCCAAAAAATACAAGGGAGTATTAGTGGCACAAATATAAGTACCAGGTCAACAGATTCCATGCCAAATATGTTTTCTGCACCTGCTGATAGTTCTGTAACACTGCGGAATTTGTTCTCACCACATTTTTCAGTTGTTTTACAAGCTGGCATCAATCCATCTTCGGAAACTGCAGTTGAAGCCAGACAGTTATCCAGACTGCCAGCAGCAAAGGCAAGACAATCAGAAAAAGACACAAATATACTATTAGTATAAACAAGCACACCAATGTGGAAATGCCTACTGTGGAAGCTGCTGTTGGCCTTCAGCAGCAACATCTGATGCAACAGCACAACCCTTTGGGCCACCAGTATGCTCAAGAGGACTGCTTTCCTGCTGGAGGGAAAAATATATATTTATACATATATTTACTGTCAGATAACTGAATTTATTGGTAAAGGCATGAAACAGGAATTATTCACAATAGAATTCTAAAAACCATATTAGATTGAGCACGATATACACTACATCTGCAAAACCACTGACCTTCACGTTATCTTTTCTGGAAAGCGCCCTCATCCTAATTATGTTTTTTCTGATAGGATATACTCCATCCATACGAGTCTCAACATATCTTGGGTTCTTAGATAAATCAGTTTTCTTAAGCCCAGAAATTACTGCAGCAGTGGCCCTGAAATCAATTGAAAGTAAATAAATAAACAAATTGTTATGATATACAAGTCAAAAAAAAAAATAGAAATGGAGGGATAAACTTACTTTCGAAGACCAATTTCAGGAACTGGATATTCATCAACAATCTCCACTACATTCTTTCGCTTCAATTGTTCTCCCTGACATTCAAAGACAATTCCATGAGAAAGTTTTCTCCATTAAAATTTGGGACAGTGCAGATAATAAATGAGATACAAAAGCAGTCAGCTTGGTTGCATTTGAAGGCCAGATGTTAAGTTAAAATTATTGTCCACATAATAATACAGGGAGTTATATTTTTCATGCTGCACTACATTGGTATACAGAGCCAAATGCCACATAGAGAGACAACTATTAGATTATTCAGTTCACATAGAACAAAAAGCAGTAGACTTAAACTATTCACAAGTTATGCACAGGAACTGTGGAGGACTCCAGTCATTATGCAGATACAGGTGCACATAATTCATAAGCAAACAACTGAACAACATTGACATTGCTCACTGCAAATAAAGTCCATAATTAACTAACAAAAATTGGATATACAAAGAACTAAATATATATATATATATATAAAACTACTGCGACGACTAAATCAAAACTTTCACAAAGACAAAGGAGGTGCAATCTTCTAATTCATTAAACTATCCAAATGTATTTTCATATCCAGGCTGTATACCATGTGTCAACAGACTGGTGTGCATAAGATCAAAATATTATAGGTAATTTTTCCATATTTTACTAAGGAAGAATTTTCTATTGGAATTTTACCATCTTTTTCTAGTTCTTTAACTAACAGACTGGTGTGCATGAGATCGAAATACTATAGGTGATTTTTCCATATTTTACCAAGGAAGAATTTTCCATTGGAATTTTACTATCTTTTTCTAGTTCTTTAACTAACCTTGCGTATCAATTGGAAAGAGGTTTTTCTAGGAAAATCATATCTTTCCTCTGTTCCTTGTTCCTTAATCACCCTTGCCTCGCAGACCAATTAATCAATATGCCACCCCTTTGAATCTCACTCAAATAAAGAAATTATAAAATGCTTGGATTTTCATCTCTTAATTAGTTTATAGACAATTTATTTAATGGGAGAAAATACGAAGGCCACAACAAAAGGAAACACAAAGAGAGGTTTTCCCTTCACCATAATACAGTTAATCATACAAGTGGTGACCTGTGAAAGCAATATATATTACATAAAAGCATTTATTTCGAGAACCAGTTTAGCTACACAAGAAACATGATGGATGCTAAAAACCTTGACAGATACTAGATTGTAATCACATTTGACACTAACTTACTTAGCTGCCAAATCCTAACAGAAATGTTCTGCTCCACTCTTATACTTCCCACAAACAATTATCCCACCGATGATGCATAAAGCAGTACCAAGTTCAAAGTTCAGACTGATTTACAGATACTGAAACTATATAGAAGTCAGAATTCAAACTTACCCTCAATTCTGAAGGTGTCTTCCTCTTAGCAGCTGTTCCAACCTTGGAAGGCCCCCCACCAAACTGAAGCGCATTGGAGGATACAGGACCACGCGTAGCAACTTTTGCCATGCTATAAAAAGACCCAAAAGCAACGAACGTACTTTCCAATCAACACTTCCTGACAAGCAGTTAACCATAAAACCAGCCTAGAAAACTTGTTAGAGGCGGAGAGAAAAATGAACACTAACCTGTTTTATGCTCCCCAGAAGTACTGGCCGGAAGAGAATGGTAGGAGAGAGAAGCTGCTTGGTAGTGTGATTTAGGACAGACAGGGGCAGAGATTCGGCATCCTGGGGGAGAAAAAAGGGGAAATAAAAGAAATTGAATGTCAACCTATTGGTAGAAGACTGGTAGTCTTTGCAGTAGCCGGATGAATGGAATGATTGCTGGGTTGGTTACAGAAATCATACAATGTTCGCCACGGCCTCCAAAGAAGGTCTAGAAAGCCATTGGAGCCCTAATCTCTACTTAGAAAATGTGCTGATTTTGAGTAAATCGATTGCCCTAAATGAGATGTTTAGGGGAAATCGGAGGGAGAGAGATCGCTGAGAGAAGGCTTCCGACTTGAGAAAGATGAGCAAGGGATCGAGAATCAGCACAGCACTGAGAGCGCCAATAAGGAGTAGTTTCGGCGCTGTTTGAATCAATTTTAATTTCCCTCCCTTTGCCTCGGGCTGACGGCATAGACGTTAGTGCATGTTTTTGTCTCTCCGCTGCCGCATTTGACCAGATACCGAGCGCATGCTATGCGGTTCGGTGTGTTTGATTTGCTTTAACCTTTATTTCCCATGTCTAATTCAATAGTGGAAAATTTTCCCATCGCAAAGGAGCTGCTTGGTTTAAATTTTTATCACTGATTTGATGCCTAACTTCTCTCTTTTTGTTTTTTTTCCGGTAAAAATATAATTCTTAAAATTAAAATATGTCTTTGAACATATTTTTTATAAGTCACGAATATATTTTTATTAACATTTGTTTTTGTGATATATTATAAAGTTGTATTCTTTTATATATTAATTTTAAACTAAAAACTTATGTAAATAAATGAGAATGTTGGTAGCTGATACAAATAAAAGAAAAAATTAACAAACTTTTTAAGAATAGAAGTGACAAAATTAAAACGTTAAGGATTAAAGCAAAAGGTGTTAAAATATTAGGATCTAAGATGAAAATGAACTAAAATTTCATCCCCATCCTTGTCATTGGTTGACAATCAATGAAGGAGCCAATGACTTTTGCCAAATAAGTTGTTGGGGCAGCAGAGGTTGCAAAGGAGGAGAGAAGTGAGGGAAATAGTGGATAAGGTTATAGAGCAATAAAAAGGTTAGAGAGAGAAGCTTGTGTTGTTGGGCTCCAACTTCTTGAGAACAGAAGCTTCACTCTTAGGGCCAAACTTGAGAAAGTGATGGCAAAAGCCAAGTCATTGAGCTAGACGACGAAGAGAATTCTTCGATCAAATCAAATCTGTAATGCTACTTTCTAGGCTAATTTTGGACCTTTTATGGGTTGAATTAGGCTACACAAAGTTATAGGACCGTAAAGCTTTTCAAAACCTTTTGAATCAACCCAATCCAAATTGTATAATCCTAATTGTAGCCAATTTTCAAAGAATCATCATGTGGCCTCTACAACTATGGCTAGGGTTTCTCCTCACCTAGGCGATTTAAGATACTCTCTCTTAACATAATTTTCTTCTAAATATTCATCCAACAACATAAGAAAACCTTTCCAATTCAATCACAAATACTATTTTCCAAATCAAAAGTGGTAGAGCTCATTTTAGGAAACTTCCTTATTTGGCCAAAGTATATCAATTTTTGTCACTTCTACTCCATTGGTCAATAAACTTACAAAACAACTAAAAATGGCTTAAAGTAAAAAATTTTTGATACAAAATAACTAAAATATGCTCAAGAATATAGCAAATAATTAGATCAAAATATGATTTATCAATATCGCGTAGCATGATTTCTCTCACTAATCACATGTCAACAAAATAGTATATGATCCTTGAAAGTAGCTATTCCCCTCAATGCATTGCCAATATCCCCTATGAGTGCTCGAAAAGCCCTCACACTGGTAAGGAAAAAGAGATTGATTCAATTGAAAAAAGAGTAGCTGGCCCTCCTATGAGTCAAAAGTAAAAGGAGGAAATTTGCACTTGCAAACACACTGACTGGTGGCATTGATTCCACTATGAAGCAAATGGTAATATAGTCTTATGTGTTCCAATGTGTTAGCACCAAAGTCTCATATTAATTTTGATAATAATAAAATAAATTAAAATTTTTATATTTATATGTGTGTAATGGACAACTCATATTGTTGAGTATAGACAAATCATATTGTTGTTTTAATATTTGACTATATGCAGTATATGTTTTACTAGATAATAAAATTTTCAAATTAGATTACATATAGTAAATGATCATATTTTATTATATAAAAACTCCAAAAATAATAAGATCAATTTTCTATGAAACTGGATCCAAATATTTTACTTGGATATATAGTTTGACTTATTACCATTTTATATTAAATCAATTTTTTTATATCACTCTTATATTCCTTTCTAAAAAAAAGTTATTATTAAAATCTACATCATATAAGTTTTAAATAACAAAATGCATTTTACAATACTAATAAAATTCTAAATTTTATTTTAGTTATGAAAAAGACATGCTAAGATTTAAATAGATATATTAGATGTATGTTTTAGAATTATATTTAAATATATACAATTTTTCTAAATGTGTTATTCTATTCAATCACGCTATTAGCAAACAAATAGATTTATTGTATTATTTTAACCATATCTCAAAGTATAGAATTTAAATTCATGCAAATCTAATATTAAATGAAATTAGACATTGTAAGTTTTATAAAAATATATAATTTATCATTTTTGATTGAGAGTTTAGGTCTCTAGATAATTTTGAAGTTTAAAAACAAATTCTAAAAGAAATAATTTTTTTAATTTGGTATATCTTTGGTAAATATATTATTTCTCTATGTAATTAGTAATTATCTAGTGATTCTTTTTGTGTTTAAAAGTAGACTCGTTATAGAGTATTCAAAATTTTTGTATGATTTTTGGAAGATTAAAAGTTATCTTTTTGAATTTTCTAAGTAAACCTATGAGTTATTACTACTAATAAAAGAGTAAAATGTGTCTTCCATGTCTTAAAAAAGGTCAAGACTTACTCAACATTCATCCAACATTTCTTCAATAGGTTTGCCTATAAAAAGGAGTATCCAAGAAGATTGAAGGGAGACTGAAGAAATAAGCATCCAGGAAGAAACTCTGAAAATCTTCTTAATCTCTTTCTTGTATTTTTTGTATAATATTATTTATTAGTTGAATAAATTGTTTTATTCGTGAGAGTGTTTATTTAAAGTGAAATATTTTTGTATATAAGTAATAGCTCATTCTATATAAAATGATTTGCTACATTTCTACATTTTCTCTACTCTAATGTATATTGATTTTTTAAAGATTACTACATCAAAAGTTTAATTAGTAATTAAGAGTTCTTGCCTCCATTAAATATAGGGGATATAATAGAATCTCAATTAATTGGAGCTTGAAAGAGTGAATATAGTCTTGTTTATAAAGTTAGATCACTATAAAAAGTTTATATTTCTTATTTCAACTCTCTTTATTGTACTTAAATTATCTTATATTTTTCTGAATGAATTACATATATTTAATTGATTTAATTTTTAGTGCACATTTTAATTATCAACATGCATTTAACTTCCAAGATAAACACCTAATTAGCTTCCAAGATAAACACCTAATTCTCCTCTCTCTTTGGTGGCCTTTTGGACAACACAATTCTATTGTTTTGGTAGTAACGAGTTTGTCGATGATTACTTCTGGCAATGCTTAAATGCGTTGAGATCTTCTTGGTCATAACTCGTCCAGACTGAGGGATATGGGCATCTAGCACATATCCCAAGCCAGCAGACTCAAAACAATTTCTCATGTTGCTAATTAATTTAGTCTCTTTCAAGGGCCCGTGGAGTGGGGAAATGGATTGATTAAATTCCAGCCAATTAATTTGATCATGCAAAAAAAAAAAAAAGAACATAAGACATACAATTGATTTATTTTATTTATTTATCTAAGAATTATGTCTTTAATTCTTCGGATATCCTCCTATTATTTTGTTAAATTCCATAATCCCTTTTTATGGATTTATAAAAAATAATCGTTATTATTTTTTTAGTGAGAGGATTGAGATTGAGACCCCTATATTTATCACATGATGGGTATTGGCAAATTTGACTCTCAAGGTAGCTAAACAACTTTTACTAAATATTTTTTCATTTAACTGTCAATTATAATTTCCGCCTCTATTGCCCTACCCCTTTATGTAACGGGTAAGTTTTACCAACCAACCAAATCAATGTTTTAAAAGCCAGACTAGATCGCCCGGTTCGACTGGTTCAATCGTGAACCGACCTTAAAAATAGTTCGGGTGACCTCCTAAAACCGGAAATAGAATTGAACCGGTCAAATTCGGTCAAACCCGGTCAAAACTAGTCAAAAACTGGCAAAATTGGCCGGTTTTTACCGATTTTTTAAAACTGGGTCGAAGCTACGCAGTCTCTCTTCTGGCATTCCACCCAAATAGTTGAAAATTTTCAAAAAACCACCTCCCTCCCAAGGCATATCGCCTGACTCCCCCAATTAATTACCCCCTCTCTCTCTACCCCTTTCCAACCCGCCTCTCTCTCTCCCCCAGTTTTTGTTTAAATTTTTTTTCATTTAACCTCCCCCTTCTCTCTCTCTCTCTCTCTCTCTCTCTCTCTCTCTCCTTTCAAAATTTTCACCCACCCCTTCCCCCACCCCACTTGTTCAAAATTTTTCCAGATCCTTGACTCTCCGGATGTAAAAAAAAAAAAAAAATAGAAAAATATTTTTATTAAATTTTTTACAATATATGTTATTTTATTTAAATATTAAAAAAAATTAAAAGAATATAAAATAATAAAAATTAGATTCTTAAAAAGATTATTTCTTAACATTTTTAATTAAAATAATATACATGCGTATATATATA